TTTTATAATTTCAGGGATAACAAACTTTTTATATTGAATATGTCGACGTTTATTAATTTATTACATTTGCGTGCAATACAGTCGATTGAATTGTTATAGACATATGAAGTTTGGTGGTTTTAATTAGAAAAGGTTGAACAGGAACGAGACATGTATTTTGGGACATAATACTTTACTAGTCCTAAAAATTCAGGTCAAGATATAGCATACATATATATATATATATATATATATATTTATACATATATATATATACATATATAGAAAAATAATTAAGTGTGGGGGGAAGTGGGGGAAGGGGTACACATAAGTAGTAACTGAGAAGGTTGAACTACTTCGTCCCTAAAAATAAGATTAAGGCCTCTTCGTATTTCTTGACGAGCAACGAAAAGGCCTTCTTCTTATTTTTGGGGCACGGTTGAAGAAGTTCAACCTTCCCATTTACTACTTGTGGCCGGAATGGATGGACACTGTCCCTGGGGTAATCGCAACAGGCATTTTTCTTCAAAGAAGGAAAATGCACTGTCACTATTCCCCCAGTGACAGTGTCCACCACCCCGGCCAAATATGGGTACCCCTTAGAAATGGCATTCACTGGCATGCCAGGTTTTAACATGCCGGGGGGGTCTTTGGACTTTGGGTCTTCTGACTTTTGGTTAAGGTCTTCTGACTGTGGGTTAGGGTTTTCTGACTTTTGGTTATGGTCTTCTGACTGTGGGTTAGGGTCTTCTGACTGTGGTTTAGGGTCTTCTGGCTGTGGTTCAGGGTCTACTAACTGTGGGTTTGATATTTGATTTTGGTCTTCAGGTGTAGGGGGCCTCCTCGGGGGGAGGTTAACCCTTTTATTTTTTTTCTGAAAAATAAAATTATTATAAAAAAATAATTGATAAAATAATTGTTTTTGTTAAGTATTTAAAAGAAGGTATTTAAACTAATGTATATATTGAAAAATGATAGGTAAGATCTATATAAGAATGTTATTATTAAAAAAATTACTATGCAAAATGTTATAGAAAAATGAAATATTAGAGATGTTTATAGATAAGATGTTTATTTAAGAAACAGTACTTCTCAACAGCGCTTAAGTTCTTTGTCTAAAATATCTATTGAAAAATTATTAATATATATGACAGTAAAAAAGATCTATTGATTTAATATATAAAGTATAATACTTTTTTTTATATTCTTAATTATTTTTGTCAGTTTAATTTTGTTCTATAATTTTTGTTTTGTTACTAGAAAGTCACTAGTCAATCCATAAACTTAAAACTGTTAACATTTTTATTATTTATTCAAATATTATTTTATGACTATACTTTTATTAAGTTACTTAAATTTGTATGTGATTTTTACTAGGAAGACACTAGTCAATTTAGAAACTAAAAAATTGTTATTATTTAGGTAAATAAATTTTTTTGAAGTTTTTCTTTTGCATCAAATTTTGTAAATATTCAACTATTTGTAACACAAAACAAAAGAGACACTTTATAGGGTTTGTGTCTCAGTTTTGTATAAATCATGCAATTTTCCCTGTTGGCATATGGCTGACTTCAATATAATGTCTTATAGACAGTTATCTAGTTTTTTT